ACTGAATACTTAGATCGAAAACCTTGGGCCGTATGCTATGCTTTCGGGGAAGGGGAAGAGTTCTGCTTCGGGGAAAATCCCCGAAGCAGACGTCCCCGAAGCAGGGCGTATGCTATGCTCCCGAAATTCATTCGGGGAGAAAAGACGCAGAGCTTATAGAGGCGCGAAATTCGAATGACCTTAAAGCCACGCATGCAATTGCGTTTAACAAGTGAATACCTGTTGAAGCTGCGTTCAGTTTTTATTATTCGATCGAGACACAATAAGGGATACTGTGTGAGGAAGAAATCTATGTTATTTATGAATACGAATCTCGTGCAGAGGTATCGTGGCACAACCGTTCTCCCCGGTCGGAGTGATCACACTTCTACAGGGGGAGCTCGAGGGTGGGTACAAGAGGCTATTTCTGCGAGCAGGAAAATAAATGAGCACGGAAATGAGAATTTCATCAGTTTAAACAGGTCAGAATTATTATACACAGGTATACGACAACGGTTCGAGATTGTGAAAAGGTGTTTTTCCTGCGTTAATAATAGAGATATGTATAGGTATAAGCAGTACCAGAAACATTATATATACAAAATCAGGTATGAATCATACCAATTAGCCCTCTCTTTCAAGAGAACTTATTGAGCGAATTCTAGTGAATACAAACAATTCCTCTTTAAGTAACGATGTTTACTAACACACTAGATTGAGACAAACGTAATCAACGGCTTGATCATATTCTATCAATAATAAACTTTTACGTGCACTCCGGATGTGCCCGTAGACAAGAGATCATTTCACTAGGTTCAATTGCCCCTCGGCATATCCTGTGGACGGCAATGAACAAGGGGAATTTAGCCGACACTCCCCCTTCTCCTGTCAGGACTTTTCTTCCATTCCAACTCTAATGGATCCAATTTCCCTACCGCCGCTTGTGGACCCTTATTTGGAAGTGAATATGCCATGAACGTAATAACTTCGTAAGCAGACATTATAACGTATATATATATATATATATATATATATATATATATATATATATATATATATATATATATATATATATATATATATATATATATATATATATATATATATATATATATATATATATATATATATATATATATATATATATATATATATATATATATCCTTCTATTATATAAAGCGCTAACTTTGTGTGTCGGTTTGTGTATCTGTATGTGTGTGTGTGTGTGTGTGTATGTGTGTCCGTCCGCAAAATGAAGTGAGTGAGAAGGAAGCTCATGGGATAAACAAACCGCTAACAAATCGGGTAGCTTACAGGATTTGAGATATCAATGTTTTGTAGCAGGATAGTTGTGATAACACTCTTAGGGCTATATAAACACCTGCTTAGCACACTTCCGTTCATTCCACATGGTGCTGCAGTGGCAGCTGGAGGGCAGTGGAGAGAGGAAGGGAGGATGAGGAAGGGAAGCGAAAAATCTACCGTCATATCATGATTGTGTCCCTTCTACTGTATGAAACACCATTGTGTTGCATACGCGTCACTTCCAGGAGGTGTTGGTGTCACAGGAGGAAGGGACCATAGCGGAGATAGAAAGCTTGCGCAGGAAAGGAAGGTCCCGGCGGTTGACGGGGGACTAATCTGGTATATTTATATATGAATTTGATAGTAATATTATACATACTAAACGGAGTAATCATTTTGTACTCCTACTGACTAGTATAGGGCGCCATTCGTTGCGGGACCCACTGCCTTAACCCGCGGGGATCCCAAGCGATCGCGGTTGAATTCGAACATTCCAGCTTCTCACGCATGTCAAGTGACTGCCCTCACCCCCCACCCCCCTAGACTGGCGACACTGCCCCTGGCTCACGGATTCCCCGCTCCACATTGAAGGGTTCACTGTAGCAGGAGGCAGTGGGACCCGTAACGAATGGCGTCCTTTACTAGTCAGAAGGAGTACAAAACGATGCGTTCCGATAAATCCTCATGGCGCGCTTGCACCAATATGTATGTATTAGTTTTCTTGTGGCAAAGTCGCAGTTTGGCAATACGACATGGAGATATGTGTTCTGCTTTTTACAGAGTTTTCCCTCTATTCGTGGCGCTGAACCCGCTCTTAGCGGCCGTAATCACAGCTAATAGGACCCATGATATCGCGGTCTTGTGCAGACACCAACGACGTCACCGATGTTCTTAAACATAACCCCCTTCACGCTCAAAAGAAGCGCAGCTCCAGGATAATATGTAATTCCCCATGAGAAAATGAGGTGCTCCAGCAAGAATAGTGCGCGCCGCGGCGACTACTCTAGCCTTCGGGGATGCTTCCCCCAACGATAATGGTAGGGGGACGCGTCCCCGAAGCTCGGTGGGCGTGGCCTCTCCCCGAATGAGCTTCGGGGAAGGATAGCATACGACTTAGGGGACGCGTCCCCTTACCCGAAAGCATAGCATACGGCCCATTGTCTAAAAGCCTTAATTCCCATTCTAATTTCTTATGAATAATTGGATAAAAAACAATTCGAACGGAGCGATAACGAATAGAACAAAAAATATGCTCACGAATGGGCAGGCCAAACGAATGGAAAATGGGCTCAGGGACCAAAATTTCGGCACTATCACTCCTCAAGAACTTGGAGTCTGGAAAATCGATACGGCAATTCGAAGAAAGATTCGAGAAGATAGGAAAAACGATCGAAATTCGTCCATGACTGCGGATTTTGCTAGAAACTTGCCCTCAGGGGTAATTTGACCCGTAGATCACGGATATAATACCAGTTCAAAGCGAAAACGCTTGGCGCCTCGCGCCGAGCACAGGCGCCGGCGCTATCACAACAGTTTTGCGCGGGCGCTCGTAGCGCAGGCTACAGGCTCACTCGCAACAAACTGATGTGATAATCATGTTCTACGGGTCAAAATACCTCTGAGGACAACTTTCCAGCGAATTTGGGGATCCGAGATGTTCTGGCGCCTTTTGGCGCCGGCGCTTCTGACGCGAGCGCCAGGCGTTCTAGCGGTAAACAAATGTGATATTCGTGTTCTACGGGTCGAATTACCCCCGAAGGCAAGTTTCTGGCCAAATCCACGAGTCATGGACAAATTTCGA